ACAATGCTAAGTGAAATAAGCCAGGCACGGAAAGACAAATACATGTTCTTCCTTATACATAAAATCTAAAACAACAGAACTCAGAAGCAGGGAGCATAACCACCATTCTACCCTGAAGAGGCTGGAAATAGGAAGATGATGGTCAAAGGGTACAAAATCTCAGATGAGAAGAATTTCTCTTTTTAGTTCTATTACACAGCACGGTGAATATAGTTCATGATAGAGTACTGTATATTTAAAAATGGATGAGATAGTAATTTTCAAATGTTCTCATCACAAATGATATTAAGTATTTGAGGCGATGGATATGTTAACTAGCTTGATTGAAGTATTCTGCGTTATATTCAGAAATCAAACATAGTTTTTTACCCTACAAATTTATACAATAATAAATTGCCAATTTACAAGTAGTAGTAGTAGCAGTAGGTTAGTTGGTCAACCTTCTGATCCTATAAAGGGTGAAGAAACATTTTAAGACTCTCCAACTACCAAACCTGAGGCTGTTCCTCCCAACCATACTTTCTTCTCCAGTGGATATTATTCAAACAAGGATAATATCCCAATAAGGTGTCAGGAGTTGAAAAGTGACAACCATATGAAGAGCCATATAATCTAAAATATCCTCCCTGTCATCCTTTCTTGGGTCTTCTTTATAAGAATCCCATAGTCACTGCTCTTTCCTCATCTGTAACATTAATTACCCTTTAAAGGGTGGCCGGGGGCAGGTGGGAAGGGGGAATGGACTTAAATTTCTTAAATGCCTACTGTGCCAGACACATTAGTTACATCATTTAACCTAAGAGGCACAACAATGTTGCAGATGAAGAATGAGAGACACAGAAGATAGGTGACTTATTGGCCACAGTGGTACAGCCAAGCGTATGCATGTGCTCTATAATAAATTCCTCTGATTCAAACCCTTGCCCAGTTACCTCAGGAAAACCTCTCCGTTATTTCTTTCAGTTCCTTTGTTAATCAAATCAAAACACAACCAAAATAATAATGCTTTAAGGGCAGCAGTTGTGATATTCTTTAAGCCAAAAGAAAGCTAAACGTGGTGAAGGAAAACTATACCGAAGAACTTCCATACACATTTCTGACCCTGAAAGTTGATTTTAGGATATTTCTGAAACTATCACTGTATCTCCTCTTTCAAACAAATCTGTTTGTCCTCAGACTCCAACATTTATAATAAAACACTTTCTAATTTAATGTTACTTTGATTATCAGCACTGCAACAGTACTTTTTCCAACATGTTATTCTTCCCTAGGAACTGAGGTCTTTGCAGTGCAGGCTAGCAAACCAAAACACCATTTACAACTCCATTTCTGTGAAGAAAAATGCTTGGAAAGTTCCAAAGTGCCAATGCACAAATACTTACTTGCAGGACACAATGTTTTAAGTTGGGGACAGCTAATATTTATGAAATGTGCCCCAAACAAAAATGTATCTTTCAATAGGAGCCTGCAGGAACAGAGGGCTCCTGCCATCACTGCCCCTGGCATCCACACCCCCTCAAAAAAATGTGATTGGAATTCTATAAAAATAATCTGCCTTTCAGGCAGTTCCAAAGTAAATTGAGGAAGAGCAAAAACATGGAATCAGAAATATAACAGTAGACTCCAATCTGCATACAAACAACATTGATAGTTTCCTTTCTGGTTAATTTCCACCTTAATATATCTCATGTAAAATTCAGAGTGTCCACTAAGCATTGAAACTTCAAGATTAATATTCACAATGAATCATTTTTTACATATTACATTCAGATTTTTTTAAAATAAGAGCAAGGAACTATTCTAACCTAAAATTTGAAGACAACTAGAAAATCTCCTATTAAAAGATTTTATTAGCAATGTAACTTGTTGGAGAACTTCAGTCATTATTTATATGTTTATTACTATACATGTAGATTAAATTCATTTTTATTAGATTATGTTTTATTTAAAGAGAACAAATATCCTCAAAAGGATTCTTCCATAAACTTTAACTAGTACTGCCTAGAAACTTCCTACTAAGAAATGCTTTTGTACTTTAATTTTGAGAACTTATAATTTTATAAAAATATAAATCTACCAGTTTTATTTTTAAAAATGCCCATTTTTCCTCCATAACTCTGCTCATAATTATTATTATATTTCATTTTAGACATGCTAATATAAAAATTAAATCTACCTTTTGGTAACTTTTTTTGAAAGCAGAAAAATCTAGGCAACAAAATTTATTAGGGGATTTCTTTGTAGCATTTTGGGGTATCACTGATGACCAGGTTTTTAAAAAATTAGTTGATTCTAAAGATAAAATCTTGAAAGGCACAAATTTACAAATTATCAAAGAAATACACAGAGAGATAAGTATTGAAAAAGGAAAATGTAAGAATTAAGTTTGCAAGCAAACCTGCAAAAATTACAAGGGAGTCATACTTCAAAAAGACTAGCTGGCCAAATTAAAAAAAAAAAAAAAAACATAGCAATTATTAAAAAAAAAAAATCCACAAAATTACTAAGGTTCCTAGGTTTACATTAGACCATCTGTAATGAGAAAACAGCATTTTCAGCACTATCACTGCATTCATAAAGATGGTGACATTACCTTCAGGTAGATGTTGCTAGGGAGTCCAGACTTAAGGGACAAAATCAAGGTTTTGTTACTTGAAGGATAAGAACCTATCACCGTTACTTTGAACTCAGGGTACAAAGTACTTTTCTCAATGGTAGAATGTCAAGTGCTTTGTAGTACTGAAATCAGAGGAAACTGTCAGATTTTGATTCTACAAAATGCACATTTTTACTTGTTGCCGATTTTCTACTCTTCTCTTACCATTAGTACACAGGGCTTTATGTAGTTATTTTAAAGGCGATGCATAGTTAATTTGATTGGTATGCCTCTTCAGATACTTTTTTTGTGAATTTTTCAAATTTGCTCTGGCCCAAATATCAGTGTTCCCATATAATTCTTGTCCCACGTAATGTACACAGATACCCTTTAATATGTACCTATAATCAACCACTCATATTAACTTCTTCTTTAATACATTATAAAAGCCAGGCTGCAAGTATAATAACCCTGTCATATAAAAAATACAGAAAATAATAAAAAATTAAAATAAGCTTCATAATGATCAACTATTTTTAGAGTAGTTACTTTAAAGATTTAGAAACAACATAAGTTTTTAGGGGGAAAAAAAAAATCCTTAAATCCCTGTACTAAATTTTGAATGTTTCCACTACAGAGGTTAAATGCCCAAGCTGATTTGGTATCAAAATTAAAGTGTCAGAAATAGAATTAAGTTATAACTTTTCTTCATCGCCATTTTATCATACACTTAAAAGTGGAATTAATAATATTAATTTGAAATGAAGCTTCCAAATATTTATGGTGCTATAATTCCATTCTTGAAACATAACTTTTAAAATAATAAATCATTCCAAGAAAGGATGATTATAAAGAGATTAGTGAACAACAGTTCCCATTTATTTATCTATTCAAGAGGTAACTTAGTTTTAAGGATGTTGTTAGAAACAATATTATTTCACAGTCATTCAAACTTTTCAGCTTATGCACAATCTACAAATGTATAATCGTTTGAAATAAAAATTGCCTTGCTATCATTAAAAAAAAAACAATCATTCTTGTTTTTCAGAACTTAATACCCTGCTTGGATATGCTGCACTCTTCTGGGCATAGAATTTCATAGCAGGTACCCAAATAACCGAGCCATAAAGCGAACTTTATCAAACAATAATTTCCTATTAACAAGAACATTGAGTGTATGACTGACTCATTTTACGCAAAACAAGATGACAAATGATAATAATTAAATAAAAACTGGTAAGGGTTTGTGATTACTTTTCTATTTTCTCGTACAGTTTAACACCTGAAAACAACTGTATTGGAGACACCTTCTTGAAAGGTGCCAGCTGTTTTCTTTGTCATAGGCACACACAGAACTAACGTCAAGTTTCCAGAGAAGGGTGAGGATGAAATTAGGCGACTACAAACCAGCTTTCAGAAATGGGAAGTCAGTCAACGTCTTCCTCTCTGATAACGCTGTATTTGTGGAGCAACGAGGGAATTACAAAAACATTTTGGAAAATAATTTCTATTGGACCAAGTCCTCACTTCGTTGGAAGTAGTCGGATCCAAGAGTCAATTTCGACACAACGCTCGACTTACTGCTCGAAGCTACCGCAGCATAAAACTCGTCTTCGAATGGAAAATTTGACCAACTGCTATGAGGTAAATGAATAGTGAAAGTAGGGGTAGGTGGGAGAGGCGAACAAGTTTTTTTGGGTTTTGGGTTTTTAGAGGAGAAGGCGCATACGGAAAAGTCCTAAGCAGGCACAGAAGCATTTCTCTCAGGATGTAGAAGGATGTTGGACCAGAGGGCTCAGAAGCTCCCAGGGTCACGGCTCCCCTAACCCAGGGACTCGGGGCTTAACTGCTACCAGGTACCTGGGGAACCCCGGCCTTGGATAAAAAGAGGGTAACTGGAGTAAAGTCGTGCTTCAGAACGACCCAGTGCCAGGGATCCGCTGCGAGACCCCGCTTTTCCCGGGACGCCCTCGGGAGCGCCCCCGACCGCCCCGCGCGGGTCGGAGGAGGAGGCAGGGAGGTCCCGCGCCAGCCCAGGCGCCTCACGGGGCAGTCGAGGGTCAACCAGCCCGGGGACCCGGGGCCGAGGCCGGCGCAGGATAAACTCCCCGGACCCCGAACTCCGCCTGCCGCTTCTCGGCGCTGGGCCTCAGCCACGGGTTCAACCGCCCGCCTCACCGCAGCCCCCGCCTACCTCGCGCCTCTCGGCCCCGCGACCTCCCCGCCGCCTGCCGGGCCCTAACGAGGCTCAGCTTCCCGTAAATTCCCCGCCCCGCGCAGCCCCCTCCTCGCCTCGGCCCCGCCCCCGCGGGACCCTGGGCGGCGCGTGATTGGCCCGCCGCGCCGTCACTCTCCGGTCGCGTCACCGCCCTCGTTTCCTACCGCCCCGAGACCGGCAGTGAGATTAGTGCTCGCGGGGCCGCGGCGGAGGGCGGCGTGCTCCTCTGTTCGCTGCCACTCGCCCGCAGGTCGGCGCGCTCGCCCACCTGAGCCGCGCCGGGGCTGCGGGGTGGCGGGGCAGGGCGCTCAGCCCAGCCGAGGAGAAAGAGGCAGCAGTGTCAGCGCGGAGATGGGCAGCGGGCGAAGTTGACGGGTTCCCCGCCCACGCTGCGCCCCTCTTGCCCAGAGGTGCGCTGCCCCTCCCCGAGGTGCTCACGCGCGGCCCTGCCCCGGGCCTGCGCGGGACTCCCCGCCCGTTCCCCCGGGACCCGAAAACTTCACCCCAAGTCCGAAGCGTGGGCTGCGAGGGAGGAGCCCGAAGCTGGACAGGACTCCGCTCAGGGGGAGTGGTCCTGGCGGGTATCTAGGCGTCGGAGGGCGGAGACCCGCTGGAAACTTTATCATCCTCGCCCTAATTCCTACGCTTCACTGTCTTTCTTCTCCCCGCAGGGGCCGCAGCCAGCGGTCTGTCGCGAGTGCCTGTGTGCCCGAGGAGCCGCCCCGGGGAGCAGACCCGGCGTGGAGTTGTTCCCCCAGGGGAGACCCGCAGCCCAGCCGAGGGGGTCGGGCGGCCTGGATGCTCAGGACCCAGCCCCGCAGCCGCTGACGCCCAGCGGCGGCGAAGTTTGGCTGCTGAGCGGCGCGGCGCCGGACCACCGGACAGCGGGAGCGATGCCCGTGGGGGGCCTGTTGCCGCTCTTCAGCAGCCCTGCGGGCGGCAGCCTGAGCGGTAGCCTGGGCGGGGGGCTCGGCAGCGGCGGCAGGAAGGGGTCAGGCCCCGCCGCGCTCCGCCTGACGGAGAAGTTCGTGCTGCTGCTGGTGTTCAGCGCCTTCATCACGCTCTGCTTCGGGGCGATCTTCTTTCTGCCGGACTCCTCCAAGCTGCTCAGCGGGGTCCTGTTCCACTCCAGCCCCGCCCTGCAGCCGGCCGCCGACCACAAGCCCGGGCCCGGGGCGCGCGCGGAGGACGCGGCCGAGGGGCGAGCCCGGCGTCGCGAGGAGGGTGCGCCCGGGGACCCGGCGGCCGCCGTGGAGGACAACTTGGCCAGGATCCGCGAAAACCACGAGCGGGCTCTCAGGGAAGCCAAGGAGACCCTGCAGAAGCTGCCTGAGGAGATCCAAAGAGACATCCTGCTGGAGAAGGAGAAGGTGGCCCAGGACCAGCTGCGTGACAAGGCGCCGTTCAGAGGCCTGCCCCCGGTGGACTTCGTGCCCCCCATCGGGGTGGAGAACCGGGAGCCCGCCGACGCCGCCATCCGTGAGAAGAGGGCAAAGATCAAAGAGGTGAGTGGGCTGCGCCAGAAATCCCTCCCGGTGGGCCGTTTTTCAGGGAGAAACGGCAAGCCTTTGAAACTCTGAAGACTGCAACATTACAGTGTATGGGAAGATTCAGGTTTGCCCCTTCCACCAGGTGCTGTGTCAAAAGCCCTTTTGTTTCCTGTTTTCAATATTGTAGGAGATAAGGCCAATAAGATCTAAGGTCGAATCTCGTTGCTTTTAACTTGCGTGCTCTTACTCTGGTGAGCACAAGCCATAGGAGGTAGGTATACATACATGGGCAGGTAATACACAAACCACCTTCTCTGGCTGCTACACGGTTAATCGCCCCACCAGTAACAGCGACAGCACTAATCAGCTTCCTGGTAAGGCTTGGGGACGTGACTTTAAAGTGGAGCTTCACGCGTGATGAAGAGGTTCTGATAGCCAGCCAGCATCCCCCAGGTTCAGCCACGTGGCCCTTGTCTGCCAGATGGCATTCTGTGTGTACTTTGAGACCATAAAGGTGGAACTTAAGAACTTCCCATCATCTAGGGATACTATCGTTTGTTTTTTTAAAAAATGAAAATATTAAAGGGCTAGTCTGCTGCCTCTTCTATTTCTAGTGCACAGTCAGAAATAGGGTATTCCATGTGATGCAACAGGTTTGCCTCCACAGCAGCACAATGTTGACAGACTTAATCCAGAATAAACATGGACTTTGAGACGTCTTTCCTAATTTCCTTCTCATAATGTTCAGATAGAACTTGTAATATGTGATTAGGTCAGGACCAGTTTAACCGCTGAAAGTGGCCATAAAAAGTCATTTCAGGCTGTCATTTTCAAGATGAAAGTTGAAGGGCCCGGATCTCCAGAACCAGTTAGTGATGAGTCAGGACTTGAAGCCCGAAGTCCGAACTTCCCCCCAGTCACAAGTCACCACACTCTCTGTGAACATGCCTCCTCCCTGAGCTACTTCCCTGTGTGGAGCGGTGCCAGCCTGGGTTTTACATGTAAAAACTGTAGGAACCACATTAAAAGCCTGTCATTCCAAATCTTGGTTCAGTTTTCTAAAATAGATTGTAAGTGTAAGTAATATTTTTGCCATTTAAAAAAATAATACAGTCTGTGAAAATAAATACTGTATTTTCACAGGTAATGAGGAGGGCAAGTCCCTGATCCCATTTTCAGAGAGTAAACACATTTTTGAGGTGGTGAAGGGGTATTTAGCTTAAGTGGCTGCAGAATGAAGGCAGCAGGATTGTCATAGGATTTGTGACTTTATAATATAAGACCAGCTGAATTTGGTTAAGCTGTAATTGAGCAAGTAAAGTGGACTTGGATCCCTTTCAGTTTAAGAAGAATGCCTTCATACCCCCTGCGCAGGTAGCTTCCTTCCACAGTCCATCAGCCTATCTGCTTTTTTGAGACCCCCCCCCCACCCCACCCTCAGGGACAGAACCCTCCCGTTTTGGGGGAATGGATTCCACTCTCTAGAACAACTGTCTAGCAGTTTCCTTTCTCCATGAAATCCTGCCAGTGCTGCCAAATCAGGAAGATGGAACAAAGCTCTACCTCTTACCAAATCCTTCCAGATTCTTTAAAAATATCCAACCAGAATCATAGGAAGTTAACCCCAGATAATCTGTGTCTGCTTGTGTTTCTGTTCAATTTGAGCAGTGTAATTCATACATTTCATGCCTTTAAATCCATATGAGCTGCCAGTTAGTACAAAATCCCAGTTGTCCAAGGAAAAGATTTTAATGCTAAAGATATATAGATGTTAGGCCGGGCACGGTGGCTCAAGCCTGTAATCCCAGCACTTTGGGAGGCCGAGGCGGGTGGATCACGAGGTCGAGAGATCGAGACCATCCTGGTCAACGTGGTGAAACCCAGTCTCTACTAAAAATACAAAAAATTAGCTGGGCATGGTGGCGCGTGCCTGTAGTCCCAGCTACTCAGGAGGCTGAGGCAGGAGAATGCTTGAACCCAGGAGGCGGAGGTTGCGGTGAGCCGAGATCGCGCCATTGCACTCCAGCCTGGGTAACAAGAGCAACACTCTGTCTCAAAAAAAAAAAAAAAAAGATATATAGATGTTAAGCTGTTGGTACTGACCAGCAGTGATTATAAGAGCATTCAGAACAGAAACAGATGCAGCAGTAGCAGTCTCCTCAGGACAGCATGTTAATTGTGTGCGTATCCATCCCTGGTAGATCCATGTTGTCTGTGTCCCTAAGTCACAAGGTTTTCATTAACTGTGTAAACAAGATTTATGTAGCCTCTGTCTAACATCTTAGCACCTAGATGTTTTGAAATTGCTCAGTCTTGCATAAAGTAGTGGAACTAAAAGTGTTCTTTAAAATTCCTTGTTGCTGTGAGAACCCCAAGAGCCAGCATAATTGGCTTCAGGGTTTAGTCAAAGGCTAACAGGAAGAAATATCTTATGATTTTTCCATCAGATTAGTTCAGGTAGATGTAATTCTTTGTAAAAAAAAAAAAAAAAAAAAAAAAAAAAAAAAAAAAGATGAAAAATAATTCTGTTCTAAAAACTGTGCTGTAAATATTTGGCTTTAGACAGGCAGGAGTGGTTGTCCATTGTTAATAGGGCACTAGACTTTAACTTTACATATTTGGATTCAGTTTCAAGTACCTCTTTGGACTTTTTGTTGTAAGTCAGTAGATTTTTGCCTTGGTTTTGTTGTTTAACATTTCTGTCTTGTCTTGTCTTTCCTTTCCTTTCCTTTTTTTTTTTTTTTTTTTTTTTGAGACAGAGTCTGGTTCTGTCGCCCAAGCTGGAGTGCAGTGATGCGATCTCAGCGCACTGCAACCTCTGCCTCCTGGGTTCAAGCAATTCTCCTGCCTCAGCTTCCCAAGTAGCTGGGATTACAGGCACGTGACACAATGCCCAGGTAATTTTTGTATTTTTAGTAGAGATGAAGTTTCACCATGTTGGTCAGGCTGGTCATGAACTCCTGACCTCAAGTGATCCACCCACCAGCCTCCTAAAGTGCTGGGATTACAGGTGTGAGCCACTACACCTGGCCTGTTTCTGTATTTTCTATTTCTCTTTATACTTAGGTTCTCTGTCACATCTGAATGCACTAACACTTATAGTTAAAATATAGAAAGTGCAGGCAAGTCTAACGTGTTAGAAGCTTGTACTGTAATTTGAGTCAACCTGTTATTTTGTACTTGGTTCGAAGTCAGTGAATACTATTTTTTATATCTATGACACAATTATGTTATTAGTACTACAGTAGATTTTTAACAACTTTTTGTCTTAGGGGAGATACTCTGTTAATTTCAAATAGGTCATTGTACAGAATGCTTCATAAAAAATCTTAAATACTTTCCGCTGCTAATTTGATGGATGGTAAAATTTGGATGTAAAACTTCAAATTAGAATTAAGATCTTCCTTCGTTCACCCCTGTTAAAATTTCATAAATTAACTCTGGGATTTCTCTGAGATTTATGATATATACATAGAGTATATTTATTTTCATGAGTTTGATCTTAAAATTGAACTCAAGTTATCCTTAGCTTTAAAAAGCAGTGTTAGAATGATAAGCATAAAAGTTAAAATAGCAGCATGGAAGTTTTAGAAAAATCATCTGTTTACTTTTTTTTTTTTTTAAATCAGAAATCATTTTTACCCACTTCCCCAATTAGCCCAATTAGCCTGTGCTCTCCTTTAGGATTAAAGCCTTAATCCAATTTGGGGGATGATTTTTGTTTGTTTGTTTTCTGGAATTATGGGGAGGCCTGAGTAATAGGGGCTGGAGCTAAAGACAGTCAGGTTGTCAGAGGGGACTCCTTTCCTCTCAGGCTGGAATCCTCACCAACGTAAGTGGGGGTTGGGGGTACATACTGACTGGCAGCCTTAGATTTGTCATGTAAGGCTTTAGGACCCTGTACCTGTGGGGTCACGGTTGTCTTCTCTCTGTTCTCCAAACAAGACTTTAGTATTTTATTCCAGACCTATTTGTATAATCATGAATTTAAAGAACATCTTCATATTGATTGCTAAGAGTTAAAATATATATTTATTCTATTTTACACTAGCCTTAGGTATATAGCCTATCGTTTATGTTAACTCTTAACACTTTACTCTTTGGGTAAAGATCAGATGTGGGAATAATCTGACTTTTATTTTGACAATTAACTTTCCAGTTTATTTGTATGGTAGTTCTGGTGTGGAAAATAATATTTATAAAATAATAAGAGCCATGATTTGGAGAACTGGCCCAAGAAGCTTCAGCATCCTTTGGTTGCCTGCCTGTGCCACTGTGCTGTAACACATTCCCTACCAAACATAGGCCAGTGTGGGATTGCCCCACCCAGGGGCCCTTCCCCAGAGCAGGAAGGACATGGAGTGTTTGCAAAGGTTTCTCTCCTTAGCAAGTAGATAAGTTTTCAACACTGTAAGTTCTAGAGTAGGTGCTGGCTGTTAATATATAAAAGCAATGTATATATATATATATATATATATATATATATATATATGTATGTATATATAAATGGGTAGTTAATTATGTTCAGCTTCCTTTTCTATATGTAAGCTATTGATAATTTCTCTGAGAAGAGTATTCTGTTTTCCTCTTATCAGGCAAGTAGGACTCATATAAAGGAGCTGTTTATGTATTTGAGACTTAGAACCTAGTTAAAAGTGTGAAAAGAGGTTTTTAAAAATGTATTTTCAAACCAATGCATCTGTACTCCTTAGGTGAGCTAATAAACTAAACCATCATGAAAACTTTATCCTAGTGTTACACAGAGTGCATTTGTATGAGATCTGAATTTGTTGGAATTCATTGAAGAACTTACATATTTGAATCAGATTATTTCATAAGCTGTGCTGGTATAAATTTTTTATTGAAGAGAATTTTAAGCATTTGTCCCAAGGTCAGAGGGGAGAAATACCCACAGATCCGTGTGAGGGATGAGGGCTAAATACATGGGGTAGATCAGAATTGCACTGGAACCTGGTTATACCCAATAACCCTGTCAAACACCTGTGGTGTTTTAA